TGAGACCCACATACGCCCCTCTGACTGTGCCTGGCCAGGGTCCACTCAAGCTCTGTGGTGGTGGGCTGTGGGGCGCGGAGCTCTGTGACCTCTGGTAAGATGACCACTGTGACAGGGTGACAGGAGCAGGACCCCCCCAGCAGTGGACTGGACACTCCTGGGCTGCCGATCAGCAGACCCTGGGTGCATCGTGGGCTGCCTGCCACTGGTGGTTTTGGTGGGCAGGGAGCAACAGTACTGGCCATGGGCTGGCGACTGCAGTGATTACCCCAGGGAATGCTGGGGAGGCTGGCCTGGCGTGGGGGTCGGATCCTGGCTTCACTGATCTCTGGCTGTGGGGTCTTGGGCAAGTCGCCCTTTCTGGGATCCTGCGAGGATCAAGTGGGATCCAGTCTGCTGGCCACCTCCCACAGGTCCGGTCGGCAGCCCCTGCAGGTGAGAACGGGTCGCAGGTGCCCTAGCTGGGAGCAGGCGGTTTGACACTCCTGGTGACGTCTGCCATTCGAGGGGAGGCATGGGGGCTGTGGAAACCCGGAAGAGGTGCCCAGCCCAGCTGGAGGCAGAGGGGATGGGGGCGGGGGCATTGGGTGCAGTGACGTTGGAGCTGTGACTCAAAGGACAGGAGCCTAAAGCCTGGGGGGCTCTCATCACATTGCAGCTCAGCTCTCCCTCTGGCAACCCGGCTCAGAGATGTGCACAGCGGGCAGAAATGACCACTGGGGACATGAACAGTTCCCATAACGAGGCTGAAAATGCCCCTCCATCACACAGGAGATGCCTCGTTCACAGAATGTTCCAGCAGTCGAGGCCTCCCATCTTTCTGCAGCCTCCTCCCTCCCCCTGCCACCCCATCTGCTCCAACCTGGCCCAGAGGACTGACCGGGCTGAGGGCTGACCGTCTCAGGAGCAGTTTCTAAAGGTACAAGTCAGCATGTGGTTGAAACCTGGGATCGTCCTGTGTGTTCCAGGGTGGGCATCCCTGTCTCCATTTCTGAATTCCTCTCTGTGGATCAGAGCCTCCCGTGCCCGAGGAGCAGAACGGTTATGCTAATGACCATGAGCTCCCCTGGAGCAGGGCTCCCCTTTCTCAACCTCCGTGCTACCAACATTTGTGTCATTCTTTGTGGTGGGGACTGTCCTGTGCACTGTAAGATGTCTAGTGGCATCCCTGGCCTCTATCCACCAGAACATCCGCCTCCAGTTGCAACAACCAAACATGTCTCCAGACATGGCCAAGTGTTCCCTGCGGGGCAGAGACCACTAGCCTTTCCATTGCTCTTTCTTCTCCGGGAGGGAGTTTCTCCATCTGTGTCCCCATTTTCCAGATGGAGAAACTGAGGCTCAAAGGAAGAGCGACTAGTCCCAGTGACACAAAGAGAAGGCAATAATCCAATGGCAAATCCGGTTACAGTCACCAGGCCTCAGGGATAATAAAAAATCCCACCTTGTGGGGAGACAATGTTACTCACTTTCTCGAGCTCTTCAGCAAATGGGTGGCCCTTTTCCGCAATTAATTCCATGGCAAACCTATGAGGAAAAAGGAAGAAGAATTTGCCTCCCCAGCTTTGTCTTGCTTGTCAAGGGTCGGCCTCCTTGGAGACCAGCCAGCAATCTCAGGGCTACATGACAATCACATCCAGGGCTGCCCAGTCCAAATTCACCTCAGGACCAACCCATCCACCTTACCCAATAGCTGAACTTAATTCGTCTGTAGTTCCCAAAGCTTCAAACACTTGGTCATCTTTGGACCTCCTTTCTCCAGTGAAGGTGCTGGAAAACCCTGTGAAAACCATGTTTAGCTGCCTTAAAACAGGACATTTTTCCTGCTATGCACTTTTCGGAAAATTTCCCATTTCCGGTATAACATATATACAGAAGAGTGCTCAGATCACAAGTGTCCAAGTTGCTGGACTGCTGCTAACTGAATACACCTCTGTGATGGGCACTCATGTCAGGAAGGAGAACGTGACCAGCACCCCAGAAGTCCACTTGTACCCCCTTTCAGGGGTGGTTACCACTCAAGGGTAACCATTATCCTCACTTCTGTCTTGATGTGCTTTTAAACTTAACAGTCATGTACTAACCATCCTGCTAAAGAAATAAGACACATAGATGCATGTTACATATACAATTATATTTTACATGAAATTAAAGGGCGCTGTATCTCTGACCAGGTCACATTTCCCACCTTTCTCCCCCAGGCACCAGGGAAGACAAAACCAGCTCCCGACAGCCAGGAGCTGGACTGGCAACATCAGATAGGCTTTGGCGCTGCCAGGTGCCTGCCTGGCACTCAGGGGTAGGCTGCGGTGTTCTCTGGTTGAACAGAACACCATCAGATGGGTCGCCCTGTGATTACGACAGATCAAGACCAAAACGGGATGCTGGCCATCATGTGTTAGCAGGAACCCTGTCTGAACTGCCAAGAGGACCAAGCATCCCCCTCTCCTGGCTAATGTGACGGTCACTTCTTTGTCAGTTACCGCTTGGTCCCTTTTTGCCCCTTTCCCTTCTAGACAGAAAGGATTAAGACACCTAGTCATAGAATTATCCTTGCTTCTGACATCACCCAACCCAGAGCAAAGCCCAGCCTGCGTGCACTCTCCCCAAAATCACCGAACAGGAGCCCCGTCCTGAAGTCCTTTCCAGCTTCCTGTTACCGAGCTGCCCGAAGTTCCCATGGTGTGCCCCATCCCCGGCTGCAATGAGCTAACTGACCCACTTTTTCTGATCAGATTGTCCCCGAGGACCCTGGAGAGCATCAACACTAACTACCTTCTTTGTCATTCCTATGCATATTTTTTTAATTGTGGTAACATATACATAATATAAAATTTGCCATTTTAAGCATTTTAAGGGTACAGTTCATTGGCATTAAGCACATCCTATGCTTTGTCTTAGACCTTTACTGCATAAGTACACAGCAAGTTCTCACTTAACATAGCGGATAGGTTCTTGACACTGAGGAAACGATGTATAACGAAACCAATTTCACCATAGGCTAATTAATCTATACAAGAGTTAAGGTCCACTGCATCTCATCAACCTAATTAATGACACTGAACGAAACACCGGTATTGGAGAACCTGCTGTGTATACACAAAAACAATGTATACTAGTGATCTGCATGGCTTTAAGTATAGGAAATGGTATTATACTGATACATTCTATACAACAATATGTTCTGGTAGTTCTTATATCATCAAAGTGATAGTATGCTTGTTAGAGGAAAATAATGGCATAAAAGTAGGTAAACAATGAAAGCCCTTCTGCCCATCCCCCGCTCCCACAACTCAATCCTCTCCCAATAATTCTGAGTGTTTGGATTGTTCTGCAACTTGCTTTTATCACTGGGTGCATTTGGGGCCTCTTTTCCTATCACCTTACATTTTGGTGTTGTGTTCTGAGATCTGCCACATACTTTTTAACCGCTGCAAAGGATTTGAAAGAACTTTAAAATGGAGTCTTCTGAGTCTCTGCATTTCCAACCTGTCCCCACCCTACCTTTATCTCCTGTTTTGGTGTAAATCTTGGGGATCTTGGGTGTCTTCGAGGAAGGCTGTGGCCTAATGAGAAGACAGGCATCAAGAGGAGGTGAGTGGGGATGGTTTATACAGTGGGGCACCTCCCTCTGTGGGTCCCAGCTTGTTGCTCGTAGCTTCAGAGGCAACACTTACTGCCCGTGAGGGGGAGTTTACACCATGTTTACCCCATGCTTAATTCCCCTGTTGACATCTGTCCCCTCCAATCCCTTAGTTGTAAGGCCTTTGTGTGGGCAAGACACAGATCTTGCCCACATCCATATCTGCAGAGCAGATGATATAGTTCCTTGTTCAAAGCAGAAGCTCAGTAAATATTCACTGGAAGAATTTACCAATTAGTTCTCCACAATCCCTGCACAGTGCTAAACACATTACGGGCATTATCTCCTGAAATTACCCTGTCTTTCCACAACCCAAAGGTAGGCACTACCTATGATCTTCATTTTACCATTAACAGTAGCTCACAAGCCGACATCCATCTTCCTAGGTCACCCGGGGGGGGGGGGCTGGGACTCATGCCCAAGACCATCTTACTTCGGACCCTAAACTGGCTTCTACTCTACCCAAACTCTTATCCTCTATTCCACCAAGTCAGGGCCTCTTGATGAAACTTCAAGATATTCAGGAGTAAAGAATTACCATAACAAGGTTCAAAAACTGGCATTTTCAAGTAGAAGAAATTCCGAGTTCAACATTATATGACATTACAAGATTACTCAAAGGTTAAATTAGTGGATCTATGAGTAATGTATGACTCTATTATTAATTCACGGTACTCTACAGGTTCTGAATGGGGTGCAAGTTTCAATGTGTATGATGACAGCCATGTTTAGATCACGTGGTGCATCTCCGTGTCTGTAAGTATAAACTGCTTTGGGGAAAGATGAAAATCGGAATTGAGGGCCCTCCTTACTGTGAAACCCGGCAAGAGGGCCTTCCTGGCCCACATGGGATATGCTCTGGGCTTAGATCGGACTTTTCTTGTGCAATGAAATCTTGTTCTCTGGCTTCTAGGTGCCTACACTGCCACGGTGAAGTCAGGACGGAGGCTGTCACCTGGCAGGTGCCCTGTGACCCCACATTGGTGTGATGTAATTATGGTGAACACAATTCCAGGTGTTCAAGTTACCCTCCCAGCCAGGCACTTACCTGTCCCCGTCTTCCGTGCCCGGGGAACCAAGGCTCTGGAAACGGGGACAAAGTAGCCTGCCGGCCCCGAGGCACCCGAGAAGGCCAAGGCGGCCTCCCAGGGCCCACATAGCCAAGTGTCAAGCCCCTCTGCCGGGGGTTGATCCCGCCAGGCTTCCGTCCGGGTCCCGGGGTGACTCCGCCTACTGTCGGACACGCCACCTCTCAAGCATCATTTTCCATTGGTCCGTGGCACTCAGCCGAGGGTGGAACACTCCCGGGGTCTCGTTTCCCATTGGTTTACGGAAGGAGCGGAGCGGGGCAACTCAGGACGCTCTGATTGGCTGGGCGGAAGGAAGAAGCTTGTATTCTCGGGGGTGGAGTACTGGAGTTGCTCGGACTTGGAAACTGAGTGCCTGAGGAGGAGGCAGGTGAGAGACCGGGGGTGCGGGGCTGGGATGTGAAAACCCCTAGCCGACGCTTAGGATGACCCTAAGCCGGGCTCCCAGCGTCTCTGGCTGTCCCCCCAACTCTGGGAATCCGTCCTGAGGGGTCGGGACCTCGAATCTGAGAAACGTGGTTTTGAGCTTCGGAAAAAGCAGTAGGTTTCCCCGCTCAGCCTCAGTTTCCCCTGCCAAGAAACGGAAATTACGGTAGTACTTAGCTCATAGTGAGGTTCAGGTCTTATTATACCGAGGTAATTACTGCATGTAAAGCCTTAGAATAGAGGGTAATTTTGCATTATTTATAAGACTCTAAAATACGCACACCTGTAGACCCAGCCAGTCACTTTCTCGGACTGTTGTAGAGATCCTTGCTTCCGAGTGCAAAAGGGGGCATAATAGCTGTTTTCTGCAGCCTCTTTATGGTTGTGATACATTGCAAATGGCCTGAATGTCCAGGAAAGAGTTCTTTCTGTCCCTGACTTCACTTAAATCTCTGCCTCTAATCGCAGTACTAATAAAACCTGGGACCATGGACAGCCAGTAATAGATAGTTGTCAGTAATTAAGTGATTACGAATTGCCAGACCCTGCTAAGTGTTTCCCTGGCATTATTTACTTTAACCTCCCCCAAACTTACTGGGATAAGTACATTTCTTGTCCCTGTGTAGCATATCGGGAAGCTGAGGTTCAAAGTCATTTCAGTGAGTTAGCTGTGATGACGTCCCTGGGGAGCAGAAGAGCTGGGGTTTGATCCCAGATCTTTCTGAGGAGTCCAGGTAATAGTTAGCTAGTGCACTGCAGCTGCCTCTAGTATTGTTGTTAGTATTAGTATAATGATGAGATTGAACTAGGCATTTTTATAAGATCTCTACCATCTGGGAACCACCCATCCTCTGGCTGGCCCTTTCAGGATTCCCAGGAGCCATGTTGTCGCAAGTCCTGCTGGTGTCCGCTCCAGGGAAGGTCATCCTTCACGGAGAGCATGCCGTGGTCCATGGAAAGGTAAAAGGCCCCCACAGCCCCCGAGGATTGGGCAGCGTTTTTCCCTGATACTCATCTTAAAAGCTGAAAGGAAGCCTTCAGGCTCAGCCTGATAGCAGATCAGAGAGAAGGCCAGTTTTCCCGCAGCCAGGCAAGGACAAGATGGGTCTCGTGCCCACCAAAGGCTTCTCTGGCTCACTCAGCGAGAGAGCAAAAAGATGACGTGTAGAGCCCTGCATGTGGGATAAGATCACTCAAGCATTATCTCCTAGGACTCTCACGGTTTCCTTGCGGGGTCAGACTTTTATTGTCCTGTTTTACCAGCGTGGAAGCTGAGGCTCAGGAGAGGATTGGCAACTTGGCCAAGGTCCCATATACCCTGGTAGAGCAGGGAATGCACCTAAGTCCATCTGAACCCAAAGCTCGTGCTTTTTCCATCCCTCATTGTCACTTTTTATGTTCTTAGCTTTGAAAACATGGTACTTATGGGGAAGCCATTCCTTGGTGTTGCGAACCTCTGAAGGTTTACATGGGGAAGGCAAATGTATAAGTAGATGTCAAGTCCTAATTGATTGGTGGCGGTTGTGCCCAGGCTCAGTAGGAGGTCGTGCCAGGGTTGATTAGCAGTGTCTGCCAAGGGCCTGGGTGGGAGTGGCCTGTATGGTGCTCTCTCTTCTCAGTGTGTGACATTATCTCCTTTTCCCTAAGACAGGAGCCATGGTTGTTGCCACCCACCCTCAGGCTCATTGCCTTTGCCCTTTGTTCTACAGGTAGCTCTGGCCGTGGCCTTGAACTTGAGAACATTTCTCCGGCTTCAACCCCACAGCAATGGGAAAGTGGGCCTCAACTTACCAAACATTGGCATCAAGAAGGTCTGGGATGTGGCCAGACTTCAGCTGCTAGACACGAACAGTCTGGGTAAGTGCAGGGAGGAGGAACCAGGGGTGGGTAGAACCTGGGGCCTTCCGGGAGGAGGAAAGAAGAGGCTGGGCAGTTATTCTAAGCTGTTCTGAGGGAGCCAGAGACCAGCCACTTTGGGGGTGTTTTCTCTCCAGACCCCATAACCTAGCGTCACCTATTAATTTTTTTTTAATTCGAAAGTATAAAAGGATGCACTAACTAGATCTCTGTGGGCTGTTATGGACAGATCATCAGGGCCTGCCATCCAGTGAAAAAACACAGTGACAGCAGTAGGTACGGCGTGATGAGGATGGGCACAGGTTAGGTATCGGTAGGCATGGGAGTGCGTAGGCAAAGGCTGGGAGGATGTCCATCCAACTGACAGTGGTGATTGGTCACCTTTAGGGGGGTCTTAAGGTCCAGGAGTGGATGGTGTTGTTTTAACAAGGAGAAGGTATTGGCATTTTGTACAATTGAAAGTCACTTAAACAAACAAAAAACAGTCACTTAAGAGTCACTTAGGCTTATTATTGGGAAGTACAGTCAATCCTGGAACACTGCAAGTAAAAAAAAAAGTCTATTATCACTACCCCTCTGTGACAGCTTAAGCATTTTGGTGTTAATCCCTCTGGATTATTTTCTGTTGATCTTTAAATTGATTGAGATAGGGAGGCATCTTGTTTTTTAGCTAAAATTGGATCAGGCCGTATCAACTCGGTCTTTTCTTCTTCGGTGAATCGGGACTGTGTCCGGGTACATACCAGCCTCTGTGCTGACCTCTGTGAGCCGGGGCAACGTCATGTCCACTCGGGTGCAGGCAGGGTTTTCTCATCTGCAGGGTCTCCACTTGCGTCAGCGCTGGGGCGTGTGTTCTGTCCTCAGTTTGCCATCTCTTCTCTGGACTGAGGCCTTGTTTGGGACAGTGTCTCAGCCAGAGTGGGGCAAATGAGAATCCTCCGGGGGTTCACCCCAAATACCCCAAACTGCTTTTGTCCCCCATCAGCATCAGTCCCCAGCTAGCCTCTCAGCCATTCTCAGATACCGGAGGGAGATGGAGTAAGAGATGAAAACCCCCATTTCTGAGCAACTGTTTCCAACCTCAGTCCTGCCTGGAGAGGTGTGTGTATTTTGAAAGGGGCTCCTGGGGGTGGTCTCAGGGACACTGTGTCCCTCCTCAATGAAGAGGCACTGTTGGGAGCATGCCTCAGAAACCAGCCGTCCAGGTGCACAGTGCCACCCAGCTGAGCTGGAAATGTCCCTCGAGAACTGGCTGCTCCTTCTCTGTGTCTGCAGCAGGGACAGAAGCAGCCAGGTGTGATGGAACACATCTCAGACGCTTCCGACTCCCTGGGCAGGTCACTGAACGCTCTGAGCAGACTCTGGTTGGTGCCTGGGAGGGCTGCAGCAGACACCAGAGGGTGAGGATGCAGCAGGATCAGAGGGGCCTGGGGCTGTGGTACAGAGTGCAGAGTGCAGTGCAGTGCGTACAGGAGGGCTTGTTGTTAGTTCAATCTCCAAGGAGATGAAGGGAATCTGAGCCTTTCTACTTGGCTGCAAGGGTCCGCCACTGGTTTTCTTGCAGCGTTCTTTTTTTTTTTTTAATTTATCTTTAGAGGGGAAGGGAAGGAGAGAGGGAGAGAAACATCAATGTATGGTTGCCTTTCATGTGTCCCCTGCTGGGAACCTGCCTGCAACCCCAGTACCTGCCTGCAACCCCAGTATGTGCCCTGACTGGGAATTGAACCGTGATTGTCTGGTTCGCAGGCCCATGGTCAATCCACTGAACTACACCAGCCAGGGCTCTTGCAGTGTTCTTTAGTTCCCTCCTAATGGTAATAAACACAGTGAGCGTGTATTGGGCCTGCATGTGTACCAGGCATGGAACAAGGCATGCTAGCGCTCTTAGAATCCAAGCCTTCCCTGGAAGCGTGTGCAGTTATTCATCCCCATTTGATGGATGAGAACCCTGAGGTTCAGGGGCCGAGTTGCTCAGGTCACACAGCTTGTCAGTGATACGGAAAGGATTCAGGCCCAGATCTTCCTACAGTCTGAAGCCCGGGCTCTTAATGAACATTTCTTCTCCATCCCAGAGCTCAGAAGTGCCTGGGCTTTCAGTGACACTGTCACGGGCCTGGCTGCCTTTAATCTGTAATTAACTCAGTCACCATGCAGCACTTAATACTGCCCTACCCTGAGGTTTCCTGACACAGGCACACCCAGCTGGGTTTCGGGCCCCCCGAGAGGCTGACTCACACACAGGGAGTGATTTGTCGAGGTGAGCCCGTGGGACTCGCTCTGCATCCTCAGTGTCTCCCGTGCAAGTGCCCCAGCCGCTTACAGGCACGGGGGGAGCCGCCACGAGGCCTTTCCCTCCTGCCCAAGCAAATCTCCATATTTTGTGTTCTTGGGTTTTATCCGAGTGTCCTAGTCTCACTAATTATGTTTTGGTAGAGGGAACTAGTTTGGGAATAATGTAATATTGCCTTTGGGACTGGCTTTGTACACTAGAGGTCAAATCCAGGCCTTTGAGTGAACGAGCTAGCTTTCACTTTTCGTCTGTACGTGTGTTTTAAAACTACAATTAATGAAGCACTTACTATGTGCCGGAAGCTGTGGACCTTAAGGAGTTTATGGACCTTTTTTACTTTATTTCATGACGATCTTGTGCAGGGGTTCTGTTGTTTTCCCTGTTCACCAAGGAGGGAAACTGAGGTGCAGGGAGGTTAAGTCCCAGAAAGCCAGGCGGGGTCACGATCACGACCCAAACCCAGTCTTCCTGCCTCCGAAGCCTGAAGCCCGGTGGCAGGCTCACTGTGGTGCTCGGATCGCGAATCCGCATCCGTGCGGATTGGGGCCACTGTGACCGCGTGGTTCTCTGTGTCCTGTGGTCTCTGAAAGCACCTGTGGCTTTCTGACCTGTCTGTGTGTACTGGTCTGCCCTTGGCACAGAGCAAGGGGGCATCGTGGCGCCCACACCAGAGACACTGGAGAAGCTGAAGGAGGTGGCAGACTTCCCTGCGGACTGTACCAACCACGAGTGTCTGGCCGTGCTGACCTTCCTCTTCCTGTACCTGTCCATCTGCCGGAAGCAGAGGTGCGTGCGTGGCCTGGGGAAGGAGTCCTGGGTCAGCTTCCCCCGGAAGATGGGTGAGGGTTTCTCCAGTTTGGGCTGCTGGCGAATGCACGCATTCCCTTCCAGGTTTCTAATCACAGCGGCCACCAGCTGCCCCACTATGTGCCAAGCACTGTGCTAGACATGGTCTGCTTTTAATATCCATAGCAACCCCGAGAGAGAGGCCCTGTCTTCATTTTGCACAGGAGAAGCAAACTCAGAGAGATGAGTCACTTAAGGCCATGCAGCTAGTTAGTAAGTGGTAGAGCTGGGGTTCAACTCAGTTCACTTTAATCCTGATGCTGGATTGAAAAACAAAAAGAAGATGGCCCTGGCTCGTGTAGCTCAGTGGATTGAGTACGGGCCTGTGAACCAGAGTATGATGGTTCAATTCCCAGCTAGGGCACATGCCTGGGTTGCAGGCCGGTTCCCTGCAGGCCAGTTCCCAGCAGGGGATACATGAAAGGCAACCATACATTGATATTTCTCTCCCTCTCTCCTTCCCTTCCCCTCTAAAGATAAGTAAATAATTAAAAAAAAAAAAAGAATTGCATTTATAATCTTTAAAAAAAAAAAGAAAAACAAAAAGAAGAGCCCTGGCCAGTGTGAGCACCAGCCTGAGAAACCAAAGGTCGCTGGTTGGATTCCTGGTCAGGGCACACACGTGGGTTATGGGCCAGGTTCCCAGTTGGGAGCGTGCAAGAGGCAGCTGATTGATGTTTCTCTCCCTCTCTTTGTCCCTCCTTTCCCCCCTCTCTCGCTCTAAAGGTAAATAAATAAGATCTTTATTTCAAAAAAGGACTTTTAAAAAAATCTTTGTTTAAGAAGATTTTATTTATTTATTTTTAGAGAGAGGGAAAGGGAAGGAGAAGGAGAGAAGCGTAAATGTGATCTATCAGTTGCCTCTCACACACCCGCAGCTGGGGACCTGGCCCGCAGCCCAGGTACGTGCCCTGACCAGGAATCGAACCTCCACTTTTCAGTTCACAGGCCGGAGCTCAGTCCACTGAGCCACACCGGCCAGGCCGCTGGTGCTGACATTCTTAGCCCCATACTGCCTTCTCTGCCCTCCTCAATTCAGTAGAACCCAACCCAGACTCCATTCTCGGGTCCACTGCGTGGCTCTTCCCACACTGTGTCTACAGGGACACCCCTGCCCCACGGCCTGCAGGCTCCAGGGACACACTGGGGTTGGCGGGGTGAAGCCCGTACCCACCGTGCACTGTGCAATGAGGTCTGGGTTATGTGCCCTTGGGGAAGCCCGCTCCTAGACGGTGACAGTCCTGTCGAGGTGTCACATGGTGATAGGGAGCACGGACTGAGTCAGGCTGCGAGGGTTCAGATTCCAGCATGGCCACCTAGGGGTTTGCTTGAGGTTCTTACCCATTCCGAGTCTCGGTTTTTTCATCTGTAAAATGGGGTAGTAATAAGTATCCACCTCGTAGGGTTCTCGGGAGGTTACATGAGTCGATGTATCTAAAGGGCCTAACACAGTTGCCGGGGAACTGTTGGCCATTATAATAACAGTTACTATTCTTATTTTCCTCAGAAAACTGTTGGAGCGTTAGAAATACTATACAGCTGACCCTGAGCAACCTGGGTTTGAACTATGCAGGTCCACTTACACATGGGTTTTGTTTTTTTTTTTCAATAAATATAAAGTCAGTTCTCAGGCTTCAAGTACACGGATGCAGAGGGCAAACCTAGTTGACAGGCTGATTTTCAGCTGCTCGGCGTCAGAGCCCCGAACCCTCTCACTGTCCAGCGGTTGACTGCAGATGAAGGGGACTGGCGTGGGACCTGGTGCACAGCGAGTTGTCACACTAATTTTTTTGGTCCGGAACCATCCTTCAGTTATGCAGCTTAAGTGGCCCTGGCTGGCCCTGGGTGCCAGGCAACGTGCTGAGGACACGTTTAGAAAGGTCTCAGCACGTGCTGTCCATTGTTGTATTTTCACCTGAAGGGGGCCTGTCCCCTTCCGAAGAGAGAGAGCGCCTTTCAGAGGCTCCAGGTGAGGCAGGGCGGCCCTGTGCAGTCTGAAAGGGCAGATGGAGGCTGACCCCTGGGTGTCCTTCCGGGGGAGCTTCCCAGTGGGAACGTCATCTGAGAAGGGCCTTGCGGGACGGGTGGGAATCTCCGTGGGGGCGAGGTGCACAGCTGCCACAGGGGGCAGGGGGCCAGTCTGTTCTGCCAGCAGGGCCACGGAAGAGCTCCCCCAGGGCTTGCGATGGGAGCAGGAAAGAGTTCAGAGGAATGGTTGGTGGTCCATGAGGCACTTTTAGGAAGAGCTCCGGTGGGACAACGTAGCGGTTTAAATGAATCTTGTGTCCGGCCGCTTGAGAGTCACGCGGTGCACCCTGCTGTGTTTTCAGGGCCCTGCCCAGCCTGGACATCACTGTGTGGTCGGAGCTGCCCGCCGGGGCTGGCTTGGGCTCCAGTGCCGCCTACTCCTCGTGCCTGGCGGCTGCCCTCCTGACCTTGTGCGAGGAGATTCCAAACCCGCTGAAGGATGGGGAGGCCACCAACAGGTATTCATGGCCCTCTCCCTGCTCGTTGTCCTTCCCGTGGTCCCTGTCCTGAGCATGGGTTCTCCCGCCAAGAGCTCACTGCCACCCTGTGAGGTGAGAGGTGTCACATGGCATTTTACCGAAGCTGAGGGACAGAGAAGCCAAACAGAGGCTGGCCCGGGCCACACAGCTAGTGGCAGCAGAGTGGGATCTGAACCCAGGCATTCTAAGTGCAGAGCCTGAGCTCTTTGCCCCAACCCCTGCCCCTCACCCAACTGCCTCTTTTGGGTCCCAGGAAGAACCAGAGCCCAGGTGTAGCGGGCACTGGGGTAGATGAGGCATCGGGCCGCCCCTGCCACGGACTCGCAGTGGGACCTTGGCCAGGCCGTGGCACCCCTTGCCACCTCAGTGCCCTCCTCTGTCAGTGGTAGTACTGATGCCGAGGCAGGCGGCACCAGGCCACATCAGGCGGGTGTGGAAAATGTGACAGTGTGTCAAGAAATAAGCACAGGAGGTGTGCCTGTCAGATGAGGGCATCTCTCTTCCTGCAGGTCCTTGACCTTGTCTCTGCAGAGGTGTGTCATCTCTCTCATTGTGTGTCCATGAGGCTTGTCGGGACAGGGCCACCGCAGACACTTCTGTGCTTGGGGACTGTGCCCCAAGAAACTGCCTTAGCACAGGGGTGATGTAGTTTGCCCTGGCCCTCACCCCGGGATTTGGGGACACAACCCCAGAAGCCAGCTCGGCAGCTTCTTTTTGAGGCTTGTCCCTGGACCTAGAAGTCCCTGTCCCTGGGGCATGAGGGAGCCCTCCCACTAGCGGGCCTCCAGTCCCAGCCCTGGGGACCCAGCTGCACCCTGTCGGGCGTCCTGCTGGCCGCGTTCGTCTCTGGGGCAGCAAGCAGGAGAGAAGGCCGCTCTGCAGGACTGGCTGCCAGGGTGGACACAGCTGGCTCTGCCCACCCAGAGCCGAGCTCACGTGCCCTCTGTGCCAGACATGGCGTGCTGCCCTTCCTGAGTCTGGCTTTGAATTGAGGTCGTCTTCCTCTGCTCTGAAAACACGTGCCTGTTTGAGTTCCGTCACGGCCAGTAATTCCTCTTCTGAGACAGGGAGGTTAAAATGTAGGTGAATTCAGACTGAGCCAAGATTGCTTTGGTCCTCACAGCCACCGTGGAGCTGGGGGCTGCTGATGTCTCATCTCTGCCAGCATCTCCCAGAGTCCCATGGGGTGGTCCCTACATGTGGGGAGAAGGGGGATGGGGGCTGGGTAGCAGCGCCTGTCTGTCCAGGGAAGAATCCAGCAGGAAATGAGGCGTGGCACCTGTAGGTACCAGGAAGTGGTTTTCTAGAATGACAGTATGGTTTATCTGCTACCTCACTGATGGCCGTGGGCAACCCCTTTTTCTCTCCGGGGCTCTGTTCCCTTATCTGAAAGTGTGGGGTCGCTCCGGATGATCCCCTGGGGGACCTTTCAGCCTTCACATTCAGTGGTCCTGCAGTAAGATCACAATTCGGGACAGCGGCTTTGAGAAAGCTGATCAGGACAGTGTGTAAACTGATTATAGCCCTGGTCAGTGAAGGCCTGGCTGCCCTGGGCCCCCTGCATAACACCTGCCCACAGGCCACAGACTGGGAGGTGGCTTGTGTGTGTCGTGTGTCTGTGTAATTGTTGGGGGCTGCAGGTGAGGAGAGGGAGGCCCAGAGTCACTTAGCTAGTAGGAGGCGAAGTAAGACTGTGTGAACCCCACCCTGGGGCTCTCTGCCACGCTGGGCAGGAGGGTTTTGCAGGGAAGGGAAGGGAGGGCGTGTGCTTTAGCTGGAGAGGTTCTGAGCGATTTTTCTTTTTTCTGAGTTCAAGGGCCCGCCCTTTTTGTCTGTCGGTCTCCACCAAACCCAGCCTGTGGCCCCACCTCTGCTGCCCGCAGAGACCCCTGGCCCCCACTCATCACTGTGTTAAAGATGAACTTCTGTGCCTTCTTCAGGTGGACAGCGGAGGATTTGGAATTAATTAACAAGTGGGCCTTCCAGGGGGAGAGGGTGATTCACGGGAACCCCTCTGGAGTGGACAATGCTGTCAGCACCCGGGGTAGGTGCCGCCTTGGGCTTTTTTTATTTACTTATATCCTTTTTAAACATATCCATGGCAATTGTAGATGCCCAGAGTCTGTCAGTTTGGAATGAATACAGTCAGTGGGTTGTGGGGAAGAATAGCATTTTCCTGTTTTGAAGGGAATGGATTTCAGCCTCACGCCTCCTGGATGCAGATCTCAGGGCGGGGGCGGGGGGGGGGCGGCTGGGGGCTAGGAAACTCCCGCTCCAGTGGAGTCCCCAGGGGCGTCCGAAGTTAAAGCTGCAGAGCCATAGCAACAGAGTTTACAGAGCACTCGAACTGAGCTCCCCTCTGGCGAGGATGCTTGTTTATGGGACCTAGACACAGTCGTGGGCCCCACCTTCATCATGTCACCTCGAGGCCGTCAGAGTGGAGTTGGGCACCCTGGGGGTGAGGGAGTGACCTTGCTGCCCAGGGCCGGGCACGAGCTGCCTGGCAGGGCCTGGGGTGCCTTCGTGCCCTCCTGGGCCTCTGGAGCTGAGCTGAGCTGGTAGTTACGGCGTTCAGTCTGTTCCCTGGATGAGGCAAAACTGAAATCCACCCCCCGAATCTAACATTTTCCCCAAGAAGCAAAGATCTGCTTTTCTGACCTGTTGGTTTTTCTCTCTAGGAGGAGCGCTCCGATATCAAAAGGGAAAGATTTCATCCTTGAAGAGGTAATTCTGGGGTGGAACAGCACCGTGGGGCCTGGCTGTCCAGTGGGGGGGCCCCTGTTTCTTTGTTATGTGCTGTGTATCGCAGGTGGCCCTGGGCTGTCCCTTCCCCCGGTGGCCCTTGAAGGCCATCACCGTGAGAAAGGCCTGCTTTTTCGAATCAGCTGTTAAATTGCCAAGAGATCAAAGGGGAGGTCATGCGCGGCTGTGCCATTCACCTTCCAGAAGGGGCTGCTCATTTAGTTACTCGTTCACTCAGCAAACAAGAATTGATATCTTCCGTGTCCTGCTGGGAACGAGCATATAAAGATGAATCAGGGACACAGTTTTGGGCTGGCGGGGACAGACATGCACACAAAAGCCACCGCAAGACGACGTGAGAGTTGCCGTAATGAGGGCATGCCAGGGGCAGCCAGGGCGGGAGCAAGAGGGTCGCTCCTGAGGGGCTTAGGGCAGAGGTGCCACTTGGCAGCTCTCAGCCTGTTTTGTATGCTTCTTTCTACCCTTCTTCTGGAGTAGCTGAAATTACAAACATGCACATTAAATTTCCACGTCCTCTGTTCTGCTTGCACTTAGTGGCAATGTGAGGAGCAGGCGATGTAGTTTGGGGCAAGCCGGAGCGGGTGCTCTGCGGCTGTTCCCCGAGCCCTCGAAAGTCGGGTGGGGTGTTAGTCCCCGGGCCGTGAGGGTCCCAGGGCTGGCTCTCACCTTCTTTACCCAGGGCTGTCTTCTTTGTAGACGGGCAGCAGGTCCCGGACCCCTGCCCTAGCCAGCTGGGCTACTCCGTTAGTGGCACAATGACCTGGGGTGACAAGGGGCTGCTCTCCTGCACCTCTGGGATCTTCCTGTTAAGCCGTGTTGGCTTCCGGGAGCCCAGCCTGCCTTCTGAGACCCTGCACTGGGGTTTCTGAACCCCACACTGTTGATGTCGTGGGCTGGATAGTTCTTTTTTAATCTTCACCCCAGGGCATGCTTATTGACTTTAGAAAGGGAAGGGAAAGAGAGAGAGAGAAATGTCCACTGGTTGCATCTCACACACACCCTGACCAGGGACCGTACCTGCAACCCAGGCACATGCCTTGACCAGCAATCAAACCTGCAACCCACACAGGTGCTCTGACCAGCAGTTGAACTTGTGACCTTTATGGGATGGTGCTCCAACCAACTGAGCCACACTGGCCAGGGCTTGATAATTCTTTATAGCCGAGCTGCCCTGTGCGTGTAGGGTGTTGAGCAGCAACCCTGGGCTCCACCTGCTAGATGCCAGTAGCACCTCCCCCATCTCCCAGTGGTGACAACCAAAAACATTTCCTGACATTGCCACATGTCCCCTGGAGGGCAAAATCCCCCTGGTGACTGCCTCTGCTCTACACTGAGAGCAGGAAACAGCTTGTGCCGGCTGCTTGTGGGATCCTGGTAATGGGTCCTCCAGCCCGCCGGGCCGGCTCTGCCGGGCCTGCTGGGTCCACGTGCAGTGAGAGCAGGGTCGAGCCTGGACGCGGAGGCGTCTGGGCCCTGCTTCCCCGTTCAGGGCTGGCAGTCCCTCGGAGGAGGCAGTCTCGTCCGTAATCTTTAGAACGAAGGCATCCAGAGGGTTCTCTGACTGCGGTGGGTGACAGCGAGGGTTGTGATAAGTCAGGCTTTGGGCTTGGGGTCCTTCACGGAGGCAGTGGCGTTGTATCCCCTCAGTGTCTCTGCCCCAGGGATAGAAAACCAATTAAGAGTGGTCTGCGTACGTGCACAGTCTCCTGGGGGGAAACAGGAGGTGAGGGGCGGAGTGTTTCCAAGGCAGGGGGCGCGGCCCCGGCGGGCTCAGGGCCCGTTGGCGGTGGTGAGGGGGATGAGGCTCTGGGGTCCGAAGGCCTGGGTGGGACCTACCTCCGCCACTTCTTAGCCAGGTGCCCTTGGCTGAGTCTCGTCTCCCGAGGCCTTCAACTCCTCATTTATATGGTGGATCCTGAGCATGACATCAGAAACAGTATCTGTAAAGTTCTCAGCTCCTTCCTGACCAAAGTTGTGCGTTCGCTCCACACATCTTTATGGAGCCGTTCCTGTGCTGGGTGCTGGGCCGTCAGCAGGAATAAAAGGTCCTGCCTTCAGGGAGCTCACATTTTGTGGGAGGACACAGCCTACGAACAGATCAGGAGGTCCTAGGAGCCTTTGGGAAACAGAGAGCAGGGCAGGGGGCTCGAGGTGAAGGAGGAAGCTGGAGCACGGGATGCTCGGCAGGCCTCTGATGAGATGACGTCCAAGCAGATACAAGCGTGAGTCACAGGGCTCTCGAGGACGGGGAAGGTCTCTGGCAGGGGAATCACAAGTGCAAAGGCCCTACAGCAGGATGGAGTGTGCCTGGGCTGTTGAGCAGCAGCCCGGGGACCGGCGTGGCCGCGTGGAGTGAGCAGCCAGGGAGGGCAGAGATGAGACGATACGAGGCCGGGGAGGCAGCCAGGCCAAGGACGCACAAGCACTACAGGGCGTAGCCCCAGGTGTGGTCACAGATTCCATGGGAGCCCTGAGTTTTGGGGGGCTGGTGGGAGACTGTTTATAGAGGACTTATCTGAGAAAGATGGAAGGCAGTACCTGAACTCCTCCCACCCGGATGGATGGGGCCTCAGAGCAAACTGACCTTCGCTGCCGGCCGTAGAGCGCCGTGGTGAGCAGATGGCTGACTCTTTAAGCAGCAGAGGGGCCAGACCACATTAATCCCGCGATGGCTTATAGAGAAGCCCTTTGCACCAAACCACGCGTGGCACTTCTCCATAGGAAAAAAAACGCATTGTTTGCGAAGTGGATCGAGATGCGGCTTCCCAGAATGCTGCCCCTGTGAGGAACGGCTTGTCTTTGAAGGGAAGAGAAAAGCCAAATAGAATGTTCATCTTTTGTAAAGTTAAAAAATAAATAAAAGAGCCAGCCTCCAAGGCTGAGAATCGATATTAATTTCATGGGCTTATGAGCGGTGAGATCCAGCAGGTTTCTGGCAGCCTTTTCCACCCCTATTGGATTTTTACGGTCTTGGACTGTGAAAAGAAAAGTGAATAAAGGTATCAAGGGGTCTGCCCATCTCCAGCTGTCTCGGCCGGAGCTCATCCAGCTTCTCCGCCCGCTGTCTCTGGGCAGCAGCGCTCCAAAAGGCAGGTTAGGGTGACAAGGAGGGGGCGCTCGGGTCCCCAGAGTCAGCTCACCACAAGGACAATTGGGATTGTGGCTTTAGGGGGGATTAGAAAGCTTAGAGAACGGGTGAGGACAGCAGGGTCATGCTGGAGAGCCAGCTGACTCAGGGCAGATGGGGGGGCGCGGCTGACACCCCTCAGCACATCCAGTTTTGGGGCAGGGCAAGGGTGGGCTCTGCAGGCCCGAACCACCACCTCCGCAAGCCCGTGCGCCCTCGCACCCTCGTGTGGACTGAACCAGCTAACGGGGCTCCTTCCTTCCATGCTGCCCTCCGTGCACCCCAGTGGCCCAGGATCTGTCACTTTTTCTTTCTAAAGCTCCAGCACCCTCCACCCCAGCTCCCTGGAACAGCTCACATGACGGAACCATGGCCCCTTCTTGTACCCTCCACTGTAGAAACTCTGAACTGACTCAGTGGCTGTGCCACGCTTTACCACCTCCAGGCCGGGCTAGGAGTCGAATGAATGAATGAGCGAGTGATGAGCCAAGGGAAGTCCCCGGGCTGAAGCGAAGGTGCAGCTGCAGGGGGTTGCAGGCACATCGGGCTGGGAGTCGGGAGCTTGTGCTCCCCGTGCTGTGGATGTCACCTCCGGGGCCCCTAATTCCTCCTGTGTATGGGGCAAGGGGGGAGCCCAAGATTGTTCCCAGCCCCGACCCCTCCATCCTGAGCTCATTGTGGACCCTCTTTACCCCGCAGGCCGCCGGCTCTGAAGATCCTGCTGACCAACACCAAAGTCCCTCGCAGCACCAAGGCTCTCGTGCTCAGTGTCAGGGACAGAATGCTCAAGGTGCGTCTCGTTCCACCCACGGGCAGGGGTCCAGCAGGGCCTCGGCAGTCACGTTTATGTGTCAGAGCTCTCCCTCCGCCTCATGGGTTAATGGGGGAGGAGGAGCAGGACGATGGGGACTTAGGAAGGCAGTTGTGGCAGAAAAGGAAGAGCTGCCTATTCACACTCCAGCTGGGGGGTGGGACAGGGACCGCCCGTCATGTTGGCTTTGCCACGAGAATCCCCCGTGTATACCGGGCACCTGGGCGAGGCTGAGACTGGGCCGGCAGGGCAGGAGGATTCCTCAGAGGGTCGGTGTGGGCTGTGGGGACACCGCCTCCCTCTGCCCTGTTGCCGGGGCAGCCGTCCAGTGCCTGCTGGCCCGTGCACCTCACAGGCCGTTGCTTCCTTTCTCTCCAGTTCCCGGAGATCGTGGGCCCCCTCCTGACCTCCATTGACGCTATTTCCCTGGAGTGCGAGCGGGTGCTGGGAGAGATGGCGGCGGCCCCGGCCCCAGAGCACTACCTCATGCTGGAAGTAAGAACCTGTTTGCGGGATCCAGGGCCACTCACGCACTCTACTGTCTTAGGCAGGGGCTCCCCGGTATGACTGTGTTCAGAATCCCCAGGGGCCAGGTCTGGGCCCGGGGGCCTGTGTGTGCATGTGCCAGCCAGCTCGCCTCGTGTTTCAGACCTCCTCCCCGGTGGCTGGAATAATGAAGTGAGGGGATTCGCAGAAAACGCTGAGGGCAGTGCCTGGTGCGGGCTAAACGCAACGGGCCAGGTTTACATAAGGAGCACCGGGATTTTTCTGACCAGTCGGTGGATCCAGAAGAGAGTTCTTCCCTGGCTGCCTCTTTCCTGCTATTTTTGTAACTGCATCAGTTCATTCGATTGCTCGTTATCACCTGCGTGCTTGGGATCAGACAAAGTCTGACATTGTTGTTTGGTCATTGTTACCCCAGCCCACCGCCTTGTGCATAATTCCAGTGTAGAGGTTAAGACCTCACGCTTTGGATTTAATCAGGCTTGGGTCTGAAGCCCGGCCCCACCCCCTGGAGTGTCTGAAGAATGCACTGAGTTTTCATGGGCGATGCACAAGGACAATGCCTAGTGAGCCACCAGCTCAGTAAGCCAGAGGGCCAGGGCTCCTCCTCAGACATGGCCATCTGGCCTGGTGTGTGCAGGCTGGCACTAAAACCCATCTGGCTTCATTGAAGAACCGCAGGATCAGACAGCGCCAGCTGATGTGGTTAGAGGCGCAGAAGGGGCCCCCTGTGGGTGTCCATTTCTCCGCAGTCCCCACCACTCCCCACGTGTGCCCACAGCCACTGTAGTCTGCCTGGTGCCCGCCTGTCCTACTCTAAGCACTAGAGTCTACAGCCCCTGTGACGCATGGAAGCTGCTACTCCATAAGTCTTTTCACAAATGATTTCTCATTGGATCCCTACAGCACCCTACCTGTAAAGGAGGTGCGTTGCCCCATTTCACAGGTATAAAAACTGAGGCCTGAAGAGAGCAACTTCCTCCAAGCTTTTCCAGCTAGTGTGTGGCTGAGCCAGGGGTCACACTGACTTCATTATTTCTTTAGTCAACAGATCTTTAATGAGCACCTACTCTGTGCCAGGCACACAACTCCACCTGCCTACTGTGCTCTTGCCCTCATTTCCCGAGCCTTTGCCTGGCTGACTCAATTCCTTTCACGCAGAAAGGAGGGAACACAGTCCTCCTGAGTGGGAAATTCATAATGATAGAGTGCTGCCTAAAATACACCCCACCGAGCCCCTGGAGAATGCCCCAGAACAGCACAGCACGTTGATTATACACTGTGTGTATTTTTGGCTGTGGCAGCCGCTGAACTGTGTCGCTCGGCTCCCGGACAGCTTTGCGCTCAAACCAGTGAGCTGTTCTCCTGTGTCACAACCTGTCATCCAGCCCTTGACAGATTTTGGATCAGAATGTGACAGGTGCCTGGAACCTGCCTCAGCAACATGACGCCTGGAGCTCAGGCGCAGAGAGGGGCCCCCTCTCACTTCCAGCCCTTGGGCCCCGTAAAAGGCACCCACCGGGCTGCCACCCAGCCATCATGCCCGTCTGCTGCTCTGTCAGAAGTGCTGGGGCCTGTGAGGGGGGGCTGGTGGGGCGGGGGGGCTGGTCCCACCCTGCTGGACAGCTCTGGGCAGGAGAACCAGGTGGGTCTCCACGGACGGCGCCTGGTACCCTGGAGCAGAGCTGTGTGCTCAAGCCACACGCTGCGAGTGGGTGGCAGCAGGACCGTGAGGGCACTCGTCCAGGCAGGGCAGGCATGGGCTTTGTGTCAGGCCAGCTCAGTGCCTTCCTAGCTCAGTGACCCCAGGCAGGTCACCTTCCTCTCTGGGCCTCAGTTTGCCCCCTTCGGAAAATGGGGGTGACAGTGCTATAAGTGTAAAAATACTGATGGCTGCTGATGTTTGCTGAGCACTGACCTCAGGCCAGGTGTCGTCTGAAAGTCTCACCTCCTCTCTTCCCCACGGCAACGAGGCAGCCCCTCTTCCCACCTTGTTGCAGAAGGAAAACTGGGGCTCAGAGTGAAAGACCTCACCCAAGCACACACGACCATGAAGTGGCAGAGCTGACACTCAGACCAGGCCCACCCAACTGCAGCTTCCATATTGTAACTCCCGGCAGCAGTGAAGGAGGTGGTGCTCATTCAGGGAGCCCAGCACCCAGCATGGAGCCTGGCACACTGTGGGTCGAATACTTTGGAGTGAATGGCATGTAATAAGGGCTACCTGGGCAGTGGCGGCTGGGAGTTTTGTTATTTCCTCATCCCACACCTCCTTTGATCCTCTCGAGAAAAGGAACTTTAGCATGCATAATCCAAGAGAGCGGAACTGCTTCCCCCACTGTGTGAGGCCTGCTGAAAGTGCCTACCAGGTTTTATTCTGAACATCAGTATCTGAGGCAGCTGTAGGGTGGCAAACTACTTGAGACTTCTGTAAAGGACAGAAATTCATTTCAATTAGGCTTTAGCAGAAAAGGAGTTTTTATTGGCTTATGACTGAGAGCACCACGGTGAGCAGCTTCAGGTACAGCTGGATCCAGGGGCCAAGCAACCTGGTTGGAAATCTCTCTTCCATGTAATCTCTGACCATGTGCAGGGTGGGTAACTTTGGTGGCCTGCCTCTGAAATCAGTGAGTTTTAGCAGTTCTGGTGGAAAGAGGCAGAGGAAACCTTGGGAAGGCCGAGACGTCCGTGGCCAGGCCTGGGACATGCTCCCTACCAGCTCCATCCCAGCCCCAGGGGAAGTCCTGCAGGGAGGAGAAGCTCCTTTACCAGCAAAGGGGGACTGTGTGCTGGGTAGGCAAAGCCATGTGGCCATGTGGGAACAGACTCAATCTTCTCCTCCAGGAGCTCATTGATATGAACCAGCACCATCTGAATGCCCTCGGTGTGGGCCACAGCTCACTGGACCAGCTCTGCCAGGTGACCATGGCCCATGGACTACACAGCAAACTCACTGGTGCCGGTGGCGGTGGCTGTGGCATCACACTCCTCAGGCCAGGTACTGGGGTCAGGCAGGGTTGTCAGCTGGGCTCACACAAAGGTTCTACCTGGGCTTTTCCCTTGGGAGGAAGGCGAGGTCTCTAAATAAATCTCACCTCTGCTGTGTGGCCTTTGGCAAGTTAATTAACCTCTCTGGGCTTTTGTTTTCATATTGGTTAACTAAGGATGCTAATATCTAGTTTGTAAGATTCCAGGAAAGAATGCATTTAGAAAGCCTGGCTCCGGACCCGGCTCACGTTGTGATGGCTGTTTCTCCCGCCTTCTGACCTGTGAGGCCCCCCACAAGCTTGAGCAATAACCAGGACACTGTCACCACCCATGTCAGCCTTACACTCCCCCCAACAGCACCTCTGGATGTGGCTGTTATGGCAATGACCTTGCTACAAACAAAGGGGTTTCTTTCCCCTTAGTCTTTGGGGAAAGAGCAAGGCCAGTACTGGGTTTGCTGAAGCCCTCGTGCTAGTGACCAGGCTGGCAGGGGGCTCCTGGTGCTGCTCAGTCACCCACACACCACACTGACCTCAGGACCCGGAACCGAATGCTCTCACCCGCCTCCATTTCCTGTGCCCTTTGCCAGCTCCCGTTGGTCTCCCCCTTAGTGTCTCCTTTCTTTCTCTTTCCTTGTCTTGCCCTCCTTGCTTTGTAGTAAGCCCACAGTTACCATCAGTGGGACTCCCAGGCCTTGGGAGGCCACCAGGTCCTAACCAGCAGACCTTGCTGGTTGGTTCCTTGTTCAGGGTTGATGATGGTGGTGAGAGAGAATGTTTCTTGCATTTGGATGGTACCAGGTGCTGTGCCAGGCACTTTACCTGCATTATCCCATGGAAGCCTCACCATGACCCCTTGAGGACTAGGTATTATTAGCACCCTTAGCAGACGAGGAGACAGGCTCGGGGGGAGTCACATCCAACACAGGACCAGGCCGGGTCTGTGTGCTCCGAAAGCCTGCCTTTTTCTTGGATGGGGCAGGCTTTCTCCAAGCAGGCAGACAGTTGTTTCAGAGGTGACCTGCTGCTTTCCCTCCCCTCAGATCTGGAGGAGCCGGAGGTGGAGGCCACGAAGCAGGCGCTGATCGGCTGTGGGTTCGACTGCTGGGAAACCAGCATCGGTGGCCCTGGCATCTCCATCCACTCGGCCGCCTCCCTGGACGCCCCGGTCCTGCGGGCCCTGGATGGCCTCTGAGAGGAGCCCATGCTGCCACAGCCCCGCCGAGAAGCCCCCTTCCTGTACTGTTCTGGGGGCTGGAGTTGGCCTCTGTGCCAGCCAGTGGGCGCCCAGCTCCTGACACTGACAGAGAGGCCTCCAGCCCTCTGTGATGTCCCTTCCGCTGGCTGTACCTCTGCAGTCCTGCCCGTGGGACTGGGGACCGCAGTGGACTGGGCTGCCCAGATGCGGTCCGCGTTCTGCATTCCCGCGAGCCAGCTGGTCAGGGGGGCTGCGCACGGCCCTCTGACTGCTGGCCCGCGATGTTAGGTGCTCTTTCTGGTTCTTCCCGGGGCTCTCCCAGACCTCTCTGCTTTGGGCCTCTGCTCTCACCTCAAGTTCCCCGGTGGAACGCTCGTGTTCAGAGGTCTGGCTCCCGGAGCAGCGTGCCTTGCCCCTCTTCCACGTCTGCATGCCCACCTGTCCCTCAGGGCCAGGCCCTGCCCTCCTCCTCCAGGAAGCCTTCCCTGACCGCTGGCAGGGTGACCCTCGTCTCCTCCCTCTTTTTACACCCTCAGTCTTTTTAGACCTGCAGCACTTCGTGAGGCCTGCTCCCCATTCCAGCTAGACTGTGGGCTCCCCTAGGGAGTGTCCAGGTGGTGGTCTTTGTCTTCTGCCCTGCAGCCCAGGGGCTGCCCCAAGGCAGGGTCAGTGTGCAGTTTCTTCCTGTCTGTACCCAAGGGTCTTGCAGAAAAGATGGCAAAGGTGGAATAAAAGGGTTTTGTGTAAACAGTGCTTCAGTCTGTGTCCAGAAGCAAGGGCGAGGCTCCAGTAGTCTCCAGCCCACCCACACCCGCCTCCCCCATCCCCGCCTCTTCTCCAGGCGCCTTCCCAGGAGAGCTCTTTAGAAGCTGAAGGAAGAAGGGCTCTGGGTCGCCTGGTTGGGAATCTAGGGGGGCGGGGTGGTCGGACGGGGTGGACACCAGGACATTGGGCTCTGTCCACTGGCACAGGCCCGGTCTGCTTTCCCAAAACGGGGAAGTTTAAACTTCCTAGATCCCAGAATCACGAGCACCTGCTAATTCACCGGCTTTTGTAAGTTGGAAACAGACCTGCTGTAGGTCCTGGAATATTTCTTTCTTTCTAAAATTAACTGGGCGGGGAAAACAGACAAGGGCTTACAGCCTGGCACCTACTTGGCCGAATTTGAACTTTATAGTACCAGTCCAGGCTCTTTCTGAAATGGCAGAATCCATCAAAACTCCATGTAGCTAGCGCATTGCCACCAGAGAAGCTCCAGGAGTCCCAGACCTGAGAGAGAGACTCTGCAGGAAAGGGGGGCCTAGGGCAAGAAGGGGGTGTCTATCACAGGATTTGGTGAAAATGGCTCAGTGTGCTTCTGCCCTCAGCCACTAGGGGGCAGCTGGTGCCTTTTCCCTGCGGTTGCACAGAGGGTGAGTGAGCTAGCCTGAAAGTAGAATCTGAGCTTCCCTTCCTCACCCCCATGCCAGGCTTCTGTGGGCTCTGCCAGGAATGTAAGGGTGATAGGAAAGACGCCTGCCCCAGCTTAACTTGCAAAAATGGCCCCAGCATCACTGAGGGGGAGTTTCCTGCCCCCACCCTTTAAAATAATGCATAAAACGATAATATGAATACTGAACACTTACTATGTGGTAGGCAGTGCTGTGAGCACAGTACACACATCATCTTTTTGGATCTGCACCAGCCTTGGATTGTAGTTGCTAGTCTCAGCCCCATTTTACAGATGAGGAAACTGAAGCTCAGAGAGGTTGAGTGACTATTGCAAGGCCACACAGCGCTAATCAGCATCAGAGGGGACTCTGACTCAGACACCGACTCCAGCACCTGCCCTCCGCCCCTGTGTGCTTCTGCCTGGAGGCAAGTTTGTTGCCATTCTTACTCCAGCTCGTTGCTTTCTCCACTCCAGCTCCTTACTTCCTCTGGCTTCTGATACATTTGTTTAGAATGGGTCGTGGGCCTGGGTGTTTTTTCTAAAGTTCCCCACATGATTTGAATGAGCAGCCAGGGCTGAAAGGTGCTTTCTCGGGGACGGTGCTGGTTGATGGTGTTTCCAGCCTGTTGGAGGTAGGCCTGGGAGCCTCCCTGGGGCTCCCGGAGGCACCCACACAGCTGAAGAACCCAGGGCGGGGGGTGTCCAGAAGCTCAGGCCCCCAGAACCTATCCGCTCACCGAGATTCCCTTCCTGTGTCCCTGGGCACTGGGTGTCACTCCTGGAGCAGAGGCCAACCCATTACCTTGCCCAGTAAAGCAGCCACCTGCACGCCTTGGCCAGCGGAGTCACTCGGGCTAGCCACTGCCATTGGCCACCTGTCTGTGATAGTACATTTGCAGATGCCTTTGCAGCACCGCCCCTTCTCATTGGCTGCCCCAGTGGTCCCCACCCCCAGCTGCACATCAGAACCACCCATCCATGCCTGGCCCCACCCCAGACTGTCTGATTTACCTGATCTCAGCAGGACTCCTGGCTCGCAGGTGATTCTAGTGTGCAGCCAGGGCTGAGGACACTGAGCTAGGGGAGCCCGAAGGTCGTTTCTGCATGTCGTTACAGTGCTTCAGTGCTCACCCCTGCCTGGGCTCTCATTCAGCTCTGCCACCCACTGCCCATGTGACCTTGGGCAAGCCAGTCCACCCCTGGAGGCTGAAGTCTCTACATCTGAAGATGGGGATAATGATACCACCTGCCTTATAGAGATTTCATGAAGATTAAGTAAGAAAATGCACGTAAGGCCCTTGGCACAGTGCCTGGTATATAATAAGTACTCGATAGATGCTTAGTTTTATGACTGTCCTGTGCTGAAAAATTACATGTCCGAGAGCCCAGAAATTTCAGGATGGTCACAAAGCCAGTTAGAAGTACCCAGCCTGGTTTGTCTAAACCCCCTGGGTTGGGATCCCTAAGGTCAATCAGTATCTGAGAAACACAGCTAACACTGACTAGCTCTCCAGCCTCCCAGCTCCCTCTCCGAAGAGGTGGCCACGTAGCTCCGGTGGCCTCTTTGCCAGCCGGACGACAGCTGTTCCTCTGGTCGGCATTCAGAGCCGCCCCCAGCCTCTGCAGTCCGTAGTGGATTGAGCAGCCACGCTCGTGGCCTGAAGTCCACAGAAGATGTCCCTGGTCTGTCAGAGGCTCAGGTTAGGGGCAGGCAGCGAGAATTGTGGTGCACACCAGAGTGGCTGCCGTCGTCACACCACTGTTCCTCCTGTGGGCGAGGACTTTTTCCCTCCAAGAATGCCCCCGTGGACCGCTGGCTGCAGGTCAGAGGGCGTGGCCAAGGCCCAGCCCTGCCAGGCTTCCAGCTGATTTTGGACCAGCTCCTTGGCTGTCTCAGCACCTACTGTAATGCCAGGCCCAGCCATCATCTTAGATGAGGGGCCTGAGGCCCAGAGAGGGCAAGCAACGTGCCTGTGATAGGTTTCACGTGTAATGTCCAGGACGCCATCGGGTCCCACCTCACTTGTCCCCGCAATGTCCAGAATCTCGATCGGGGCCTTAGGGCTGGCTTTCATACCCTGATTCTCTTTGAACCGTGCACAGCAGCCCTACACATATATGCGCTCACACACCTTTTTTCCTCCATCACGTGGCTTCCTCAAGGGGCCTGGCCAGCCACCCTGCAGAACGAGCTCTCTTCCGTGCTGCTCGTTCATCCAGACCCTGCCCGTGGCTTTGCCAGCCCTCACGTTGCTAACCTGCACAGCGTGGCCCTGAGTGTCTTCTCCCTGTGAAGGTGCTCAGTTCAGTGAGATGAGTATCGTTTCGATGCCCATTCTGTTGATGAGTAAACCGAGGCCCAGGGAAGGGACTCACCTAAGGTCACAAGGCAAGTAAGCGGCAGAGTGGGATTTGAACCCAGGCCTGTGTGACGGCAAAGCCCTGCTCCCAGTCACTATTTTGTACTGTTTGGGGGGTGGCTGGTGACTCCCAAAGCCCCCTCTCCAATCTCTGCCTATTTCTCATAAGCGAATTGCCACATCCATCCCGGGGCACCTGCCCAGCCCACCCTGCCAGCCCCCTCCATCCTCACTGCTGCCCACACCTTGCACCCCCATGGCCCTGCCAGCACAACAGACGGCAGCTGGTTGAACTGCCCAAGACCACAGACCGCCTGGGCCATCGTCTTCCCACTTCAAAGGAAAACCTCAGTGCTGGGTCGGACAAGCCCCACACCCCACGTCTCCTCAAAACTGAGACAGACAAGGGCAGTGTCTCCAGAGCCAACCAGACAGATGTTTCAGTTGCTTGTAATTAGAATCCAACAGGGCCAGGGCCAGGGTCAGGGGCACCCTTGCAAATCACATAGTCCAATGTCTCATTTGCTGCTAATGAGGAAACTGAGGCCCAGAGAGGTCACACAGCCTAAGGTCACGTAACAAGCTACCTCTGGGTTTTCTCACAGCCAAGGTGTCACAGAGAGAGCACTGCACTCTGTCCACAGACCCATCTCAGAGCTCGGCTTCTGCACCTGCGGAATTCCCTCTGGGCCTCAGTTTCCTCAAGTGAATAGTGCCGGGCAGGGTGCTTGAGACCTCAGGTGTTGTCACGGTCAGTCCCTGTAGCAGCTCTGGGGCAGGTAGGACAGAACCACAGGTAGGTGAAACTCGGGGCTGGCTATGGTCTGGAATTCGGCAGTTTGCAGCTTTAGGGCTGGAGACCCTGTGTTTTCCGGGGCAGCACCAGCCCAGACTCTGCGGCGAAAGGTGTAAAGATTGTGCACGTGGTGTGACCGCCTGTGTTTCGTTTGCCGCCAAGTGCATTTTGCTGCCAAGCTTCTGGGTTTCAGAGGGTCGTGGACTGCGGCCTGAGTGGTTGGCCCCACTGCACAGAGAAACAGACCAAGGCTGCTCAGGGACTCGTCCAAGACCACAGAGCTAAGACGGGGTGAAGCCCAGGCTTGAACCCCAGCCAGCAGGCTGGGCACAACCTCCCATGCTGCTGGGGCTGCCCGGGGCCTGCTTTTGCCCATTGGGGGGGAAGGCTCTGCACCCGCACTCGGGCCTGGACGCTGTCCTACACGGTGCAGGCGGAAGGCAAGGGGCCCCGGTACACTGCCTCAGGCTGGGAAGTCAACTCGGAATCACCCGTCTTGTTTATTTCTTTTCCAGCCGTAAAACTTGTCATGTGGCAAGACTTCAGGAAAATGGCCCAGTGATTCCCCCACACCTCCAGCTACTGGACCCTCTTGGGGGTTTTCAGCTTCTCTCTGAAAACTGGGGCAGGTGTGGGAAGCCTCAGCCCGGGGTGGGGAGAGAGAGGGGCCTCCCTCTCCTCCTGCCTGCCCCCGCTCCCTCAGAGCAGCCAGAAGGGATGGTGAGCCCCAGTGCACTAATTTTCACTGTATTCGTGGGTGCACAGGAGGGGCAGTTGCCTAATGACACACTCACACAGAAGAGATGGAATGGGCCTCTGTCAGTCTGCTCTACCAACCCCCCGGCCCAGGAGATTAGCTGGGTCTGTTCTCACACAGTGTTTGAATCTGATAAGGAAAACATCCATTTCCAGGCATTTGCATAATGCACTGGCGGAGGCCAAGGTACCCCTTGAATGCTGACGGGCACAGAGGCTTTGCTGCCATGCACGAGGCCCGCTGGGGCCTCCTGAGTGTCCTGCCTGCACAGGGAGAAAGGGGCTGCTGTCCTCCTCCCCGCGATCACCAAGGGCTGCAGGCAGGTCCTGGCCCCTCAGCTCATGGTCACCATTCACTCAGCAAATATTAAATGTGTGACGACTACGTACCAGGACCTGGGCTGGACCCTGGGGAGCTGAGCCGAGTGGTGGGGTATGTTTACCCTGTGGGCTCACCGGCCTGTGCTCTGGATGCTTCCATATTCCTTCGCTCTCCCCGCACTTGCAGCCACCCGTGAGGAACGTGTGGTCAGCCCTGTTCGACGGGTGAGGAAGCCAAAGCCCAGAGGGAAGTCCCTGCCCCAGCAGCCAGCAGGTGCGGATGCCAGGCCCTGCGACGGGTCTCTGGACCCCAAGTAGAGTGTTGTCCACGTGGCATCTGGACTCTGAGGAGAAAACCAAAAGGCATCTTCCTGTGCAACATTAGGCAAGTCTCTCGCCCTCTCTGGGCCTTGGTTTCCCCATCCATAGAAATGCTGGTGCCGTTTGCTGTGCCGGAAGCTTGCCCTTGTGCCCTCATTTCCTCTTCCCTGTCATCACTGTGGTGTGTGTTTTGGGGTCCGAGCCAGGATGGGAAGACAGTGGCGTCCGACCCCAAACCTGGGCTCCCTCCCCCTCTCAGCAGGCAGGGCTGGGTTTTGGGGACCCATCCATCGGGCCCGGGAGGGAGAAGATAGGGCAAGACTTGGGGTCGTGAGGTGGGTTAGGCTGGCTGCCTCAGATACTGGTCCCCAAGTGCCAGCCCCAGATCATCATGGGTCTGGGGCTGGGACCCTGGAGGAAAGAAGCTCCCCTGCAGCTGAGCACCGGCCTTCTGTTGCCAAGCTGGTCGCATCCGCAAGGGAGCTCTGGGGGCTCTCACTCACCCCCGGGTCCCCACGGGCTGCCACCTGCCTCAGCCCAGTCCTCCGTTTAAGAAGGGATGTCCTCTCATCAAGAGCATTCCCTGACAGTGCCATAAAGACCTGTGTTCTATAGATGGGGAAACCGAGGCACAGAGAAGGGCAGCGACCTGCCAGCGGTCACACAGCCTGTCTGCGGCAAAGCTGGGGTTCAGGCTCAGCCCTTGCGAGCAGCTGAGGAGCCTGGGTGCAGTCGGGGCACCCCAAGGCCAGGGAGGGAGGCGGGTCGCCACCGACCTGGACATGCCAGTGTGTCTGCAGCCGGCTCCCAGGGGGGTGAGGGCATTGCTGACGCTCCGATGCAGGAGAGGAGGGGAGGCCTGGCGGGGCCGGGGTCAGGCTGGGGGCAGGAGGAGGCAGGCCACGCCTCCCTCCAAAGCTCGGGCCAGTTGTTGCCCTATGGGGTGATAGGCCCCACTGTGCCCAACCTTTTCCTATCTGGTTTTAAAAGAGAATTCAGAAACCTGGGTATCTTGTTAAAATCCCGTGGTTTTTAAATACTGTCAACCAATTTTTAAAAATTCAATGTTTTAAAAAATGGCCAAATCAGGCTCTTCTGCAGACAGAAAACCGCCCAGGGTCGAGACCTCTTTCAGAGCCTGGCTGTCCGTCTCCCCGGCTCTGCAGTGAGCGTGGGAGTGGGGGCGCCACCCGTGGGAGGGCACCCCGCCCCGGGGAATCTGATTACCCCCCGGGCGCCCTGCCCCGGGCAGGGGCTGGTGGGGGTGGCGCCAGGGGTTGGGGCGAGAGCTCTTCCCCGTGAGGCACAGATGGTATTTTTTTTTTTTTTATCATTGTCAGCATTGGCTTCTTTCTGCTCTGATGAATACATTCTAAAGAGGCCGTGACATTATTCGAGATAACAGAGAACAGAGAAAGGGTCAGCGATGGAGAGAAAATGGCAGAGCCGGCAATGAAGGGGAGGCCGACGTGGGTGACGTGCCCTGCCTCAGGTGCGCCCCCAGCCCAGCTCCCTGTGGCAGGGGTGGGGGGTGCCCCCCGGGGCCAGGGCAGGGGAGGCCCGGACAGCTGCCCGCAGCACCTGCTCGCTCCGGCATCCCGCCTCCTTTTCTATTCGATTCAATTAGGCCTCCCGCTCTCGGAAGCTTGTCTCCTCTGATATCCAGTTTAACTGACAGGGGATTAGAGCTGTTTGTACTACACACACACTCTCAGGCTACTAACCTGCCAGCAGGGCCCAGGCGCCCACGTTATTTATGGAGCCCGCAGTACCAACCTTCTTGATCTGCTTCCTGTGGGAGGTGCAGGGGGCCCTGCTGTCTGCTGCACCCCCGCCCACCCTCCAACCCCACTTTGGCCCCGGGCAGTGGAGCAGAAGAGCCCAGAACACCCTAAGTTTGAATCCCGAGACTGCCGCTGTCTGGCTGTGTGACCATGGGCCAGTGACTTCACCTCTCTGAGCCTCAGTGTCTCCATTGGGAATGTGGAGACAACTAACTTGTAAGGGGATTATGGGAGGAAACAAATGCAGGGCACTTCCCACAGTGCCTGGGGATTCGTTTTGCCTCTTCACCCAACAAGTGGGACTGGGTCACCACCCCGTGCCAGGCACTGGTCTTGGTCACCGAGGAAGTGATGGGGACCCAGCAGACTTGGTGGCTGCCGTCAGTGCAGATGCTTACACTCCAGCGCAGGGGACAGAAGATAAGCAGGCCCCACTCGTGGTGCTGCGTCAGTAGGGGGTGCGGGGCAGATGAGGGCAGAGATGATGATGATGATGGCGACACCAGGCGCCTTTAGGTGCCGTCAAAGTGCGTTTGTCTCTGCTGCTCCTTCAGCCTGAAACAGCCTCCCCACCTCACCTTCCCTCTGTTTTATTCCCGACTGTGCAGGCATGTTTTGCTACATCACCTGTCTCCCCAGGAAACTGCCAGCCCCCCGAGGGCAGGCACCACGGTCGTCATCTTCACTGTGGCCTCTCCGGGGCTAGCACAGTGCCTGGCACATAAGAGCTTGAGGTTTTCTGAGCGAGTGAAAAAATGAGTGAGGAAGGAAGTTGATGAAAAGTGGCCCCTCCTGCCTGCACGATGGCCGCCCTGCTCAGCCCGGGAACCCTGGCTGACCCGAGCCCGCCTTGCTGGGCTTAGGAATGGTTGGGGGGTGGGAGTCTTAGAACACTGACCAAGAAGGGGAGTCTTTCCCTCCTTCCCTTAGAGAAAGAAAGGCCCCCCCCAGACCCTCCATCTCCCAGCAACCAGTGGGCCGGTGAGACAGAGGGTGTTTCCAGCGTCCTCTGAAGTGATGGCGGGAAGGCCCCAGGCAGAAGAAATGCCCTGTTGTTGGCAGAGGGTGTGGTGCTGCCGACACCCATCTGCACCCCCTCCTCCCTCCATTTGCCAGCCCTTGGGGGCCCCTAGGCCTGCGGGAGTGCAGGTCTGGACGTTCATAAAATTCAGTGCAATAAAATGACAGCCACTACTTAGTGCAGGGCCTGTTTGACTTTCCCCAGCCCATAAGGTGTGGAGCTGGGCCGGAGCCCAGGACCCTGAGCTTGAACACTGCTCGTGCGTCTCACACCTGCTCTGTGCCAGGCACCTTCGTGTACATTGCCCTTGACATCCTGAAAAGCGGGTATTCTGTCCCCCATTTTGCAAAAGGGGAAACTGTGACTCAGAGAGGTGACATGGCCAGCCCTCAGTCTCCGCCTGTTAAGAGGCAGAGTCGCATGGGAACACAGGTCTGCCTGGCCCCAAATCCAGCCGGCACACTCTGCCCTGCAGCTGGTCCCTCAGCTCAAGTGCCCAGATTGTCGCAAATTTTTATTGGGCCCTGGGTGGGCAGTGAGGGGTCAGATCACTCAACCAGCACTTGTGGGGGTCCCTCGAGAGCCCCTGAAGTATGACACAGTCCCTACTGGTAAGGGAGATGTCATTCAGGTGGGAGCTTGGTAGATTAATATGTAAAGAGTTACAAGAATTAAACAACAAACGGAAACCTGGAGCACTCTTGCAAGGTGGTTGTATGACCCACAGTTCTGAGAGGTTGGTCAGGGAAGCTGCCCTGGAAAGACACACGGGTTTTGAAAACAGAAATCCACATGATAACCATTACAATGAGTCGATCATCATTATAATGACAAAAACTGTTAATAATGACAAAAACTGTTCATAATGACTACAGTGAGACCCCCATGTTGTAGGTGTTGCTGTTCCCATTTCACAGATGAGGATGCTGAGGCCCAGAGAGATGAAGTGGTGTCCCAAGACCAGCCAGCTGGTAAGTGGGGCTCCAGCCCAGATCCCTTGCCCCCCACCCAAACCAGTTGTTCTTCCCGGACCCCAAGAGTGTGGTGAGCAGGAAACTGACTGGCCCAGGTCTAGGTGGCTGAGCCAGCATGTTTTTTCAGAGCTAGTTCCCTGGCCAAGGCCTGAGTTTGGCTGGGGCCAAGGTAGCAACTGAACATACTGCCTGAACTTGAACTCTGCACTGGGGTCACAGGTAAACAAAATCTGGCTCTGCCCTCCAGGGCTCGCAGGGCAGAGCTGGCTAAGCAAACGGACAATGGCAGTATAGAACTGCTGGTTCCGAGTTTCCGTGGGAGCCCAGGGAGTGGGTGGTGCATCTGCCAGCCTGGTGTGTAGGAAGGTAATCAGGGAAGGCTTCCCGGAGGAGGAAGTGCCTGGGTAGAATTTTGGCCGAGCCAGGAGGTAAATGGGGACATTCCAGGCAGCAAAGGCGCCGAGGTGAGCAATGCCGCAGCAGGTGCAGGGAAGCCACTGACGGCGCCTATTGTTTGGGGGGGAGCCTGGGCCGACATGAAACAAGGTTCATCCGGAGGGCCCTGGGGAGCCAGAGAGGGTGTTAGGCGCATGAGGACAGGTCACAATTGTGCTTGAGAAAGTCCTCAGACTGTGGCATGGTGGATGGAGGGGGAGGTGAGAGGCAGCAAGGGCTGGAATGGGGCGGCAGCACTAGGGACGGATGGAGAGAAGAAGGCAACAGGGCGGGGAGGGTTTGCAGGTGCCCAGGAGGGCCTTTCGGTTTTGGGGTCCAGCTTGTCTCCCCTGCTCAGGGACCAGGTGCGCTCCTTTCTCAGTGGTTCCTGCCAGGGGCGGGGCTTCTTGGTCGACTCCTTGGTGGGTGGGAAAGCCCTTGGATTAGTTCCTCAGGCTGCTGCAACATGGCACACAAGCCAGGAGACTCAACACGACAGGAACATCCCCCCTCACCGTCCCGGGGGCTAGAGGTCTGCAGTCGAAATACCAACAGTGCCATCCTGCATCTAAGACTGGGCGGAACCTCCCTTCCCCTTCCCGCCCCTGGTGGTGGCTGGCGGTCCTTGATGCCCCTTGGTTCGCAGCTGCATCCCTCCCGTCTCTGCCTGTCCCCACATGGCCACTTTCTCCTCCCGTGTCTCTGTCTTCACATTTCCTGTCCGTGTAAGTCACATTCGATCAGGGCCCACCCTCACGCCCCCATCTTCCCGTGCTGACGCCCACAGAGACCCTATTTCTGAATAAGGTCTCATTCTCAGGTACTAGGGGTTAGAATGTCCCCATCTCTTTTGCAGGGACACAACAGAACTCATAACACTCTGAAGGGTTTTCCTGGTGTGTTTCTGCCTCTGCAGCCCCAGCTCCGAGCCTGCCATCCGCCAGTCCTTGGAGGGGAGTCGCGGCATGAGCAAGGGAGCGGACCGAGCCCGGGCATCCTGCCTGCCCTCCACGGCTGACTCCGGCTGCCCTGACGACCGACCGTGGCCACCCCGGGCCCCAGTGGCATTTGGGCGAGGCAGGTCCCCAGGGCCGTCTGCCCTGCGGTTCTTCTCCGAAAGAAGTGGTGTTGATGTCAGCAGATGCCTGTCACTTCCCTTCCCCGGCACAATCTCAACTGTCAGAGTAAGTGAAATAGTCACTGCCTCTCCTTGCGTTTGAGATTTTATTGACAGTTTCATTGTCACCCAAAAAAACCTCCTCTCCTCTGCTGGCGTTTTCATCAGGCGAGTCTGGGGGCAGGGGGAGGATGCAGGGCTGGCTCCTGAAAACAGGTTTTGGCAGCCGGTGGGCACTGGTTCTGCTGGCCTGGGGCCGACAGCGGTGGAGACCCCGGGGGGAGCTCCCCCAGGCCTGGGCTCCCGCCCTGCTCTGCACTCCCTCCAGCGGGCAGGTGAGGACGGTAGGATGGTGGCCACGTGGGGCAGCCCAGGTCCTGCCCTGGATGCTCAGGCCCTTCTCCCACCCTCCCTGGTGGCCATTAGGGAGGCATCGGGGGGCCGCGATGAGAGCAGAAGCTGTAGAATCAGACCACCCGGGTGCAGTTCACAGCTCAGCAACATGCGCCTCGGGGCAGGTGCTTCACCCTGCAGAGCCTCAGTGATCCCATCTGTCAAATGGGGTGGTAGCAGGTAGCTTGCACTGGTCCAGGCTGCATCTGGGGAAGTGCCCATTTTCCTGGTCAGTCCTCATCGGAGCCCGGAGGCCTGGCTGAGAAGCTCCCTCGTAAGGTCTGTGGGAGAGCACAGGGGACAAAAAGTGTCACATGGCCCTAACGCATAAAGAGAAGCTGTCTGCTGCTGCTGCTGTGTTGTTGTTGGGACAGAGACCCTTGGCACCGCCCCCCACGCTGATCCCACGCACTCTCTAGACATCACAGAGGCCCCCGAGGGCAGGGAGTGGGCTAGGGTCGCACAGGGGCTGAGGGCCTGCTTGGGGGGGGTCCTGTCCTGCTCCCCGCCACAGCTTCCTCTGCACACTCCTTCCTGGCCCCCAGCGGGGCCGCCGGTGGGGCGCTGCGTTACCAAATGGGCAGGGGCAAGGCCCTCCGGTTACAGCGTCAGACTGAGGTGCGGCTTCAGCCCGTCCAAGCTGCACCGGCGGAGAACAAGGCCCTAGAGCCGCGCCTGCTCAGAGGAGCCGGGCTGCTGAGTACCCGAGTTCAGACCAGGGGTTCTGGTGCCAACAAGATCGCAGCTTGGGTTTTGGTGTGACCACAGCTGGCCTGTGACAAGTCATCGAACTAAGACTCACGGAGTCTCAGTTTCAGCCTCTGTTTGATGAGATGGTAAAAGAAGATCCCCCTCAGAGGGTCAAGGGGCTAAATGTGGAAAGTTCTAGAGCAACGTCCGACACAGGCAGAAAGAATGATGGCACATGAGCTCCTTAAAGGAGCTCATTAAAGGCCTCAAGCTCCTTAAAGGCACAAGCTCCTTAAAGGCCTCAGACTCTGCACCCCTCCAGACGCCCGGGAGGAAACTCAGGCCCAGAGAGGGGAAGGGCTTCCTCACTCCCCAGCCTCCGGACTCCTGGGGCCGTGCTCCGGCTGCCTCCCGCCGGCTGGTCTGATGAGCTCCCCCCGGTGCCTCGCCTGGCCTCTCCCCGTGTCTCTGGTCCCCCGCCGCTCCCAGCGCCAGAGCCCCGGGCCCCCAGCAAGGGATGCCGTTCTCCCTCTCCCTGGCACACGGAAGGTTTTGAAAGTTAAAGTATTACCGTCGGCTTTGTTGTTGCCTAACTACGACAGACAAATTGAGAACCAGTTGTCAAAATGTCAGCGCACAACAAATCAACATGCAAAACGAGTCGCAGCGTTCTGCGGCGTATAATTAAACAAAAAATCCCTTTTAGAAATTTCAGCGCGCGTTGGTTCCACTTTATATTTGTCTGTGTGATTAATAAAGGCAGCTAATTTTCAGACTTTAAAAACAGCTAGAAAATAGCTCCTAATTACATATTAGGTTCCTCGCGGCCCCCGCTGAGCTCCGCTGGCATTGGTGGGCCGGAGAGTTTGGCAGAGCCTTAATTGCATTCTGAGCATCATCTAATTTTAGTTAAATGTAATGTAATCAGCAGCAGATGTCTGAAATAAAATATGAATTATGAATATGATGAAATTTCATTCTTGAATAAAAAAGTAATTTGCTATTTAGTTCATTAAAGTCTTAGAGGTTTATTAGGAGCAGGTATGTACGGCCCGGCGAGGTGATACATTAAATGATACTTGGGAGAGGGGGAGAACCCCCAAAGGGACGGAAACTTTGTCCAGGGGTGCCCGGCTTTGATTCATTACGGTGGGGCCTTGGGGAAGGCCCTGGGGGCCCCGAGTCCACCCCAGCCCAAGACCTCCCTCGGGCCCTTCGAGGTAGACTCGGGGTTTGGGGTGAGGGCGCTTCCGGGGGAAGCCACAGTGCCACTGGGGCCTGCGCCATCCCTACCATTGCACCCCCCTTCCTTCCCACCCTGGGCTGGTGGCCCCTGGCTTCTGAAATGAGCACGTGAAGGGCTCGTTCCTGGCGACAGGGCTCTGTGCTGGGCCTGGTGACGCCCCGTGAGGAGGAGGCTGGCATCCAGGTGCTGAGCAGGGATTCAGTCACCGCCTCTGCCCGTCTGTGCGCCTTCCGTTCAGCGCCTCGGCTTCCCTTTCTACAGGGCGAGAATACGATGGCACCGTCCGGCTTGCGGAGCAGTACCTGGCACGTGGCAAAAGCCTCGTCCGGTGCTGGCTGTTGTTGTCGGGTTGCTCCCACCTGGCAGAGGCCCCGGTCAGTCAGTATTTCAATGTCTCCTTCTGTCCTGTGTTCAGAAGCAGCCAGTGGTGCAGAGATTGTCAGCTCTATTTTGTCTTTGATCTGAGGCACAGAGAAGTTCAACAACTCGCCCAAGGTTGCACAGCTAGTCATTGGGAGAGCTGGGGTTTGAACCGGGGACCAGCGTTTCCCCCTGCGTCCCCAGAGCAGCATGAGAACTGGCCTGGTGGGAGCCCTGGACCGAGGACACTGGAAGGGGCCTGGGCAGGGGGCAGGAGGAGGCAGGGCTCATCTGCCCTGGATTCCAGGAGGAGGGGGATGCACGAGGGTGGGAGGCAGGGCCGGGGCTCTGCCAGAAGCTGCTCCGGGCAGGTGGGGGACGGAGGCCGCCTCTCCATCCTCCCTTCACACCAACCAATAATTTCCTGCAATTATCTGGAAAAGATTAATTAGCAAAGTGTACCATATTGACTTGAACCTGCCCTGGCGATCGATAAACTTGGGAGGGTCTCCCAGGTGCCTGCGGAGAGGGCCAGAACTTGAAAGTGGGGGAGGAAGCCCAGCTTTGGCTGGTCTGAGCCTCGTTTTCCAGCCCTGAGGAAGGCCGGCCAGCTCCCTGGGTCAGGGCAGCTCTGCGTGACATCCTGTGGGCGTTGAGCGCATCCCTTCCCTCGCTGAGCCTCAGTTTCCCCGTATGTAAAATGCGGCTGGGCTGCCCTGGGCCAGGGATCTTCCTTCTGCTCCCACGAGCTCCAGGAGGACGGCAGCCTCCCTGGGGTTTGTGGGCCAGCGGGCAGCGCTGTGGAGGGAGCCCTCTTCTCTTGGGCTTGGCTGCCTCTGCCGATGTGGCAGCCTGCTGGGGGCTGAGGAAGTGCAAAGGATTCACCCCGGCTGCTTTTCAAGGGCAGAGAAGAACGTCTGTCCTTTCTCAAGTGTCATCGGCCCACGGCCCCACATTGCTCTCTGCTGGCGCTGGTTTCTGGTCAGGGCAAAGAGTTGAGTGTGCACAGCATGGGGGTTAAAACAATAGGCCTAGGGTCAGGCAAGCAAAGGTTCAAATCCCAACACAGCCCTCCTCCCCAGTGGGTGCCCTAGCTGGTCCCCTGACCTCTCTGAGCCTCACTGCTCTCCTCTGCAGGTGGTACATCCGCTGAGCGGTCGGGAGTTTCCAGTGGGCCTGCGGCCCAGCCCAGGGCAGGCACAGAGTGGTGGGGGGTGGGGGGGAGCGGAAGTTGCTGCCACAGTGAGCTCCTAGATTCCCACTCCACCCGCATCCATCAGCATCTTGAGGGACACAGCGTTCCACTGGAACGCTTCAGGTGAAGAGAGTTCAGGTAAGGGAGTTACAGAGAGGGGTAAGCCAGCCAGGGACCTTGCGCCCTGGACTGGGAGGGTCAGAAATGGCCCTAGGAGAGGCCAGTAATAGGGAACTTGGGAAGGGACCTCCAGGTGGGAGCCGTGGACTTGAAGGGACACTGGCTGCTGCTGGCAGTGCCACGGGGAGGCGGGCGGAGCCGGGCAGAGGTACCCCAGCCTCTCCCTTTCCTGCCCCAGCCTCCCACTGGACAGTCCCTTTGGAAGCCAAGGGGTGGGGCGGCTTGTGGAGGTCAGCTTCCCGGGGCACAGAGTTGGGCTGGAAGGTGAGGACTGGACAAGTGGTAGTAAAAGGGACAGACCGGCCACAGCCCCTCTTCCCAGGACTTTGGATCAGTAGGAGGGCAAGGGGAGGCTTCTCCGTGGGAGTGGGGGAAAGGGGGTCCTAAGCAGGCGTGGATTTCACCCCATGTCGCCAACCCCACATCAGTTCCCCACAAGCTTCTCCCCTCTCTTCATGGGGACTCACTCTGCCCATAAAAATCTCATTTTGCTTCCAGGGCCCCCCAGGGTCGCAGAGGACAGCCAGACAGGCCTGGGTTCACCAGTCCCCAACGTGCTTCTGTCCCGGACTTAGCAGCCTCACCTCTGAGATTAGACGAGGCCGTAACAGCAAAGCCCCTAGCACAGCGCTTGACACATAGTAGGTGCTTCATAAAGCACTTGCCTCCTCTCCTCCCCACCCTCTTTGTCACAAGCCGTCCGTGGCTCCACCCACTCATCTAATGGTGATTGGGCTCTTGCCACGTGCCAGGCCCGCGCCAGGCCCTGACCCAAGCGCAGTGGAACTGAGAATCATTTGTCCTACAGCAAAAACTGACAGAGCGTCCCCTCTGGGGACACAGCGGTGACACGACGGTGTCGGACTCCATTCTCGTGAGGTCCACAGTGTCTCAGGGAGGCAGACTTGAGGCTGGAGTTTCCAGAGGTTTGGGTGCTGTGGCGAGGGGGGACCCAGAAGGCTGCAGGGTGAACACGCGCCCCCTCCTGTATTCTTAGCTCAGG